AGAATTGTTTATACAGAGTAAGGGCCTTTAACAGTAGATTTCAACAACAAGAAGAAAAATATTACCGCCTGAAGTCTCTGAAATTAACTTATTACAAAATGAACACATGATAAACTTATTTAACCATAGGATTCGTATGTTACGAACAGCTTCGTAATTATACAAAATAATACGGTCATGGTAAAATACGATCCAACGTAACTCTAACAAATTCAAGGTTACTATTAATTCAAATTACGAACTCTGTAAAACAAACTAGTTTGTAAAAAAAATCTACAACTTGATTTTATGGAGAATGTATCGCGAAACTTGAACTAGGTCGCTAAAACACTTCATGTAGGTCAGACAACTTTCAAATATTTACTCTTGACAAACCAGACTGGACCATCACAAAACGGCTTAAAAACTGGATCACGGCAGACCAGTCGGTAGGGAGGTCGATGCAACTCCAGAAACTTGATTTACCTTTAACTGGAGCGAAATTACTTTGAGTTTTGATGCTAATGTCCTAAGTCTCTATCCATTAGTTAACAAGTACATTGTCACCACGACTACAAGAATCAGGCTGTGTGACATTTTATATAAGACTCATCATGTTTAAAGCAAAGTTTGTCCACTCCATTTAGCGTTGTTCACCCACCTCATCTAAAGGAGGGTAAGGCTTTACAATGGTACACATCATTCATCCACACTGTCTCTTCCAACAAGGAAAGGTCGTTTAAAAACTCTTTTCAAACCTTTTGCAATCTGCAGTGTTCACTCGCCTCTTCTGAACTAGATTGATGACTTAAATTGTTAAACACCACCCACCTTTTCCTACCTCCTTTCGACAAGAAAACTGTAATTTAAATCCCCACCCCTCTTTCCGTTTCAATCTGCATGTGTAGTATAAATATAATATTTTTTATTCTAATTATTTTCGAGCACAACAAGGCACCGAAAGTTTAATTTAAGCACAAGTACAATTACTAAAATTTCAGTTTCCAGGAGAAAAATGTTAGGATATCTTTACCTAGGCCATACAAAAAGTTCCCTAACTAGCTTAAGAGTTCTATCAACACTGCCTTGAAATGTAGAAATAACACACCCAAAGATCCGGGTAATAACTAGGCCTAAAGTACATAACTGGTAACGAGAACGTTAATAATACACCAAAAGATCCGGGTAATAACTAGGCCTAAAGTACATAACTGGTAACGAGAACGTTAATGATACACCCAAAGATCGTGGGTAATAACTAGGCCTAAAGTACATTACTGGTAACGAGAACGTTAATAATACACCCAAAGATAGTGGGTAATAACTAGGCCTAAAGTACATAACTGGTAACGAGAATGTTAATAATACACCCAAAGATCCGGGTAATAACTAGGCCTAAAGTACATAACTGGTAACGAGAATGTTAATAATACACTCAAAGACTGTTGGTAATAACTACTTATTATCAAAGCCTAAAGTACGGAACTGTTCTTCTGGGTCTTCTTCCGGGAGGGTTATGACTTTAATTTCGACAACCATATTGGGGGAAAACAAAATTCAAAATAAGACCTACAGTTCATATGGGGATTACTGCCCCTGGAACATATGTTTAAATACGAAGATTGTTTTCATTCAAGTTACACATACGAATACTATACACACGTACGATACATATACGCTCTGATAATTTTAATTCACCACCGCTCGTGTATGTAAATTAGCTAAGCTCGTATTGGTCAGAAAAACAAACAAACAAAAACACTGGTTGCTCCAAACTGATGGACGGAAATTGTTGAAGATTGCTTTAATAACTGTCAAAAAATTGCAACCTTATTTCAAAATGGAACCAATATCTTAAAAATGTAAAAGAACTAAATGCTCAAAATACTTAGCATGCTCTTATTATGGCTGTTAATGCGATATATCACCAATTTCTGCTAAATTAGTGAGAAATGATGGGGAGGGGTGGAGCAACAAAAATATCTTGGTAAGTATTAATAATGCAACAATCGATAGAAGAAAACGACCACGGTCAAGTTACAATGATAATATTGTGTGAATAGCAATAATGAAGTTATGCTTGGTGTAAATTACGATTGTGCCTTAATTTAAGTTAGTGATGATGACAAAGAAAGCGAATACGTCATGAAAGAATGCAAACATGCACACGATATCGGAGATGTTTCCTTGACGCGAAATTTACAAAACCGAAAATCACGTGAGAGTGAATCCTTTAATACTGTTCATAAAGCAAGTCATATAATTACTTTCATTATTTTAGTACTAAAGAAGATATATTTTATTATATTACCCAATGATGCAGTCCAATATTGCTTAATATAGGAAACCACTTTTTAAAAGATAGCAGAGAAACTAAAGAAATCAAATTAAAAATGTATAACTGAAGTACAACAAATCTTAAGCGACATTCTATCCAGATAATGGTGTTATTAGCTCCACTGTGTGATTCACTACAAAATGACGAAGTTTTCCGTTTGTGTAAAGTCGATATCAAAACCCAATAGACTACCCGATGTGTTAGCTTCATACAGGATCTTGTGAACGCATTTCGAACGAGGATGTTTACAACTGCGTCACAGGTTGATAAGCAATCAATCAATAATAACTTCCGATCAGAGTAAGCATATGTTAAATATTATTCATGATTTTAACTTTATACACAAGTGCCAAAATATTATAATTAAGTATATGTACTTTGAGCGAAACTAAAAACCAACTTGCCTATCAGTATAGCTAATTAAGTACACTTTTCTTATGCATCTACTTATAAGGATTATAGAATGGATTGTTTCATCAGTTACGTACTCTTGCCGTTAACAATATTTTCGGCCGTAAACCCAATAATAGCAAACCAGGTTCGGCCAGCTTTGGAAATTTAGGTCAGTTCTAAATATAAAACTAAGTAAACAATGCAAACCAATCATTATAATAAAAGCATAATAACGAACGACAAATTATGATAAAATAAATGTAATTATATTCGATACAGTAATTAGTATAACCATTATTATTAATGAAAGGAACAATAAGAAGACAAAATAGCATTTGGTATTGGAATGTATGAATGGCTCATCGATTTTCTCTCAAATCGAATATTTAGATCCTAGTTTTAATTGGGGAAATAATTAACAATAAGTTTGTGAGTTCTCCACAACATGGCATGACAACAAAAGATATACATATTAAAATAAACATTCCAAATCACCTACTTAGACTTTTAAATTCACATTTCAGAGGCCAATGTGAAGCCTCCTACCGTTCTCTATTTTGAGTATCTGAAGTGATTAACCGAAACTGAAACCTTTACACCAGGATATAACGTAAGATCGTGACATGACATGACAAAAATTTACATCCTTAGAAGAAAATCTGAATTGCTTTATGCTACATATTAATACAAGTAAATTGTCTGCACTCAGTCTCAAGTATGATTATGAACTATTGCTATTTCACGACTTCCGAGTACATACCAGTTGTAAAAGTATATTTTTACACCATTAATTTATCTTTATTAGTTGATAAAAACAATTGTTACATTCTCCAGTTTTCACATCCTTAGGCCTACTCTGTTACACTATTATTTGTTACATTCTCCAGTTTTCACATCCTTAGGCCTACTCTGTTACACTATTATCCACAGACATTGATGACACATTGGTTCTTTCACTCATTCCAATACATTCACAATGATGGAGCATGGAAATTTTCTGTTCACCTACTGTGATAATGCCTATTATCGGTGCTTATTTTCCGTAACCTGTTCTAGACTTTTATTACTATTTTAAAATATAAAGACTTAAACACGATAATTAATCTAAGACTGCCTACGCTGCTTTGCGAATTAATATTTGGCAGAAGTAATCATCTATATTACTCCTCCCCAGGCCAATCCCAAGTAATAACGTCTTATTGTTATCTTCCATTGTGGTATCCAGGAATACCATGTTCCCCATCTTCTATATTGATAATGTTTATTTACGCACTGTCATGGAGGCGGCATAAGGTCCAGATGTGAAACATCATCTTTTTACTTCACCCCTTTGTTGTTGTTTTTTTTTTATGGAAGACAACTTTTCCCCTTGTATGGTATTTTAGTGTATCTCGAGCCTGAGTTAAAGAAGTTAGAACTGGAACATCCTCTGTTGGTGATGTATTGAAATACAGGGACACTTTCTTTATCCAGTTCTCTCCTAGTGAAGCTCTGTTTGGTGCTGGAGTCTACTGTCCCGAACCCTAATCACTGACCAGGAAGGGGTAAGGACTGTCCACAGGAACTCTGTTGTTATTAAATCCTATCTAATGCTTGTTGGGAAATCAGTTTTAACTGAAAATACCAAACTCTAAGTCAAACTTCCTCCAGCGTCAGCAAGTATCTGGTAGCTCTTTTACTACAAACTAAGTGTTGATCATTATGATTGAGATTCTAGCGTGGAAGACTATCACATCCAAAATGACAACTATGGTTCTTGTGTACTTTGTGGTTCTGATTAGTACGCTGGTTTGGCTTACGAAATGCAGAAGAAATGGGCGTAATTCTGCATTAATGAATATAATTTTATAATGAGCATTAAACACATGATTAGAATTTCCTATAACTTTACAGATACAACCGGATACGTTTTGCTTAATACATCAAATGTTAACCCGAAAATACGGACTCGTCGGTTTTTTAAACACTTTAAACTTCTCATTCGGTTGGTTACTAAGTGCCTAATAAGATGCCTTTCACATAAAAAAAACACATCAACATTTGAATCATAATTCAGCTAACTACTGCTTAACATTTCACATAGTAATTTAATGATTTCATTTATTTTGGGTTATATCTTTACATTGAGAGCTGTAACAAACAAAAATTACGTAATATGATGTAGTACAAAGAAACACCACTAGCGAACGGTATATAATCAAGTCGGTAATTTGGAGGTTAAAATTTTAAAGATGGCGTACTCCTGTATACAATGATGTAAGCCTTCAAAGAAACAAACTGTTGTACTTACCCCATTGTTGGCTTGAAACTGAACGGTTGGCTTCGGAATGTTGCTTCTCTGTAAGGATTGAAACAAATAATATTAGCATATTGGCGCGTCAAAGAATTCTGGAGGGACGACGTAGTAGCCTCGAATGCTTTCATCTCGCGAATTCCTGTCTACTTACTGGTTCACTGTACTGAAAATCTGTAACGTCAATATTTACTGTTCAATAATTTACTCTCTCGAAGTACTGGTAAACAATAAAGGGGCTTGAGCATAGAGCCAGCTGGGCTACATTCTCGTCTGACCGAATTGTGTGGACTCTATAGAGTGTTTTTCTTTCTTCGGCAACGGGACGGGAACCATAAACTTAGGAATCATTCTTAGTTTAAATAAACAAGTTGTATTCCTATCAGTGCCTTTCAGTAGCAATATCGAGATTTCTGTTCTGTTGATCCTGTGACTAATCATTATATAAAATAATAACATTTTCATTAAATATCTTTCAAATGCAACAAAAAGAATGAATATCTATCTAGTGATCCGTGTATGTTGTACTATCTGATCCGTGTTTGTCGTAATAGCTGATCCGTGTTTGTTGTAATACCTGATCCGTGTTTGTTGTACTATCTGATCCGTGTTTGTCGAAATAGCTGATCCGTGTTTGTCGAAATAGCTGATCCGTGTTTGTCGTAATAGCTGATCCGTGTTTGTCGTAATAGCTGATCCGTGTTTGTCGTAATAGCTGATCCGTGTTTGTCGTAATAGCTGATCCGTGTTTGTTGTAATACCTGATCCGTGTTTGTCGTAATACCTGATCCGTGTTTGTCGTAATACCTGATCCGTGTTTGTCGTAATAGCTGATCCGTGTTTGTCGTAATAGCTGATCCGTGTTTGTCGTAATAGCTGATTCGTGTTTGTCGTAATACCTGATCCGTGTTTGTCGTAATACCTGATCCGTGTTTGTCGTAATACCTGGTCCGTATT